AATTCAGTTCTAAATTAGATGTTTTAGAAGTTTACTGCTGAAGTGAGTGAATTCATTCTATACTTTCATTGTCATAAGATTTGGATCAGGCCGATGTTTCAAGGGAGGTAACTCTGAGTGGCATGTTATGACAGTAATCTGAGGATTTACCTAAGGAGTAATGGAAGTTACAGTAAAATGATCTTAAACCTCAAACATTCAAAAATAATGTCTTGTGTCAATATTCGTAAGCCACTAATTCTGTATATGATGCTTTCCCCTATTTATTCCGGCTGTTCCTAATGTCAGATTTTAAAATTGTAATCATTTAAAATGATCATGCAAGAAGGAAATAACCAGTTAAATGGGTGATTTCTTTTTGATATGCATAAACTCAGAGCGATTTGTACAAGCCAGCTGGATGGCCAAGCAGTGAAAATATTCATTCCTCAGAAGCACTCGGGTTTAATTTGTTTGGATGTGGGGTATTTAGTGTTTGTAACTATTGTGTGACATATTTATGGGGCATTATACGTAAGTGAATAAATCTGGGTGCATTGTCATTATATCTAAATATCCTTCTATCGTTTAGTTTCACACAAGTAAGGTGTTGTATATATGTTTATAAATTATATCAAGTTCTTTGAATTATGCTTTAACCTCACATTTAGACATTTTGTACTAAAATGAGAATGCCTGTTTCATGTGAAAGTGCTGAGTTTGAGGTGCTAAGTTGCTAAACATTATTTTGGGCATCTTTGTACTGTATATAAAACTACACAAAAAGCTGTAAAGTTATCAAGTTAGATCTAAAGTATGAAATCATCTCTATGTGCATGTTTATGAGCCAGTCAGTCAGGAAACTGGGAACAGCTGGCGTTACTTATATTTTGTAATTCATGTTTAGCAAATACCTGATTGGTTTAGTTGTATCATTAGACCGTATCATATTCAATTTCTATCATGTTTTGGTACAATTATGACAGAGTAAAGCTTTAATTATGACAGAGTAAAGCTTTAATTATGACAGAACTGTAAAGCTTTCATTATGACAGAGTAAAGCTTTAATTATGATAGAGTAAAGCTTTAATTATGACAGAGTAAAGCTTTAATTATGACAGAGTAAAGCTTTCATTATGACAGAGTAAAGCTTTAATTATGACAGAGTAAAGCTTTCATTATGACAGAGTAAAGCTTTAATTATGACAGAGTAAAGCTTTCATTGTTTCACAGAGCATGCTTTATATGACAGTAAAGCTAGCACTATAAACTTTAATTATGAAGTAAAGCTTCATTATGACTGAGTAAAGCTTTATTATGACAGAGTAAAGCTTTAATTATGACAGAGTAAAGCTTTAAATTATGAGTAAAGCCATGTGAGCTTTAAATATTCTCAAATTATGACAGAAAAGCTTTAATTATGCATAACAGTTTTTTTCTGGACTTACATGAATCATTTACAATGCAAATTTACCTCATTTATGTTTAAATTAGGTTTTCAGCTAAACAGTATCATTCTACCTTCAAAAGTGCGCTTGACACTGTGTTCATGACTTGCATAACCTTTCTTGTGTTTGATGTTGCCTGGATGGAAGTCATTATTGGAATTTATTCCTGTACAAGACACTGTTGATGATTTGTGTTGGGCTGTGTCTGTATGGTCCGGTCAGGTTGGCCAGTTATGTGTGGAGCAACATTCTACAGAGCTTGCCTCAGAATAACGACATTCTACAGAGCTTGCCTGGGAATAACAACATTCTACAGAGCTTGCCTCAGAATAACAACATTCTACAGAGCTTGCCTCTGAATAACAACATTCTACAGAGCTTGCCTCAGAATAACAACATTCTACAGAGCTTACCTCAGAATAACAACATTCTACAGAGCTTGCCTCAGAATAACAACATTCAACAGAGCTTGCCTCAGAATAACGACATTCACAGAGCTTGCCTCAGAATAACAACATTCTACAGAGCTTGCCTCAGAATAACACTTCAGCATCAAGTCATGGAGACATTGTGCTGTCTGAAACATCAATGAACCACTGGTCCGGAGCCCCAGTAACATTGTGTTAGGTCTATACACACAGTCAAGTATGTTTGATACATGAACACAGACTGCAAGTAAGGGTATCTAGGGGAACAGGGGACATATCGGATCCAGAGGGGTGGGCACTCGACTCTCGCACTCCACCCACCCACCACCTCTCTCTCTCTCTCTCTCTCTCTCTCTCTCTCTCTCTCTCTCTTTCTCTTGTGCTGAAAGTTTGTTAAATGACCATTGAAACTCGGATGAAAATGAAATGTGCACCCCTCCTTTTCTCAATATTGTGCATGCCCCTTTCTCAAAAAGCTGTATCTACCCCTGGGGAAGATGTGTATACAATTGGGTACATGGTGCGCAGTGTTCCATCAACAGGGAAAACAAAATGATAAATATATAAGAAGTGTTATTTATCAACGTAGAGGGGAAATATGAGCAGTAAAATGTTCATTAATCATGTCCTAAATTGTTATTTCTTGCTGATCGTGATGTAGAAATCGGCTTGGTTTGCGTTATTTACCCAACGTTAACACCCATGTGATGTACTGCTGTACCGTGTGTACACCTGAAGCAATGGTTGAACTAGGTTCTTGTTCTGTTTGGGAATTTTTTGAATATTTGTGTTAAATTTATTTTGATTGATGCTAATTTAAGTGGCACATTTGTCACATGTGTCAGCTGTCGGCATCTACCTGAATATTTGTCCACTTTATCATGAGGTGGTTTACATGTCTGTCATTTGTCTGATACGTCTGTGTTGATGTGTTCAGGTCCGTATACAGTCCAGGCTGCCGCGGAAACAGCTGGACTAGTACACTAGAATATTGTACATTCGATGAGAGAAGATGGGGTTTGAACCGTTTCAATCATTCCGAGACTCTGCTTTAAGTTTCGTGTCAAACAACTGAGAACATGTTGGCATGACAACCGTGACCACAGAGAATTGTAAATTAATAATTATCTTGTCTGCTAAATTAGTTCCTGAAGAGATCTGTTGTAAGGAGAGCAGTATGTTCGTATTATGCCTGGTACATGCACAGGCCATACAGACAATATCTTGTATATACCACATAGGTAAATTTGGTGCAAGCTCGATAGGCAATATCTTCTGCAAATCATATAGAACACATCTTGTCTAGGCCAATCGACAACATGTTTTACAAGCTTGATAGAAGTCGCTTTATTGATTTATTGAAGTGTGGACTGCATATAAGCCTTGATAAAAAGGTTTGACCAGCAGTGTTGTTGAAGCAGATGAATCTGATGCGGAATTAAATGACTAGCCAGCATTTTGATGCTTCTTGATGATCATACTGTCTGCCCAAACAGCTATTAGTATTGGAAAAGTAGATCTTTATGTGTGCTGTGTTGATCCAGGGCTCAACTTTATATATGGCACTGCCAATGATTGGCGTGTTTAGTTTGATTAACAGTACCAAGTCCTCATAATGAAGGAAGTAAATAGATTGTACCATGTTTATTAATTAGTGTGAGAATTTAGAAAGAAAGTTTTTCTCTCCATGAATGTTTAAATGGTTTTTCTTTTTGATTATAGCATTTGTTGAAATGCAATCATGAAGGTTCCTTATGGGACCCAAACTTAGAAAGTCTGGTCAAAGAAAGGTGTTGACTGATGTTTAGAAGAAAAACATAATTTGATACTTAAAATTGTCAAGGAAAAACAGAACTATTGCCCTTTTCCAAACTATTATTTTACTCTGTCCTGTGCAGAGAACTGATTTCTTATGTATTTAAGGAGTAACCGAAAGGGGTTTTTTTCAACACAAGTTCCAGCTGACCAAACTTCCACAATGCAGGATATTAATGGTCGAACACTAATTTCTAACACTGAGGTGTGTTTGCTGCCTCTGTCTGGGTTGCCTTCAGTAAGTGGACTGGTTACCTCATGGAGGTGGTGGGCTGGGTTCCAGCAAGGTCACTTACAGGAGGCTTGTTGTCATGCCAACCACAACATGCAGGTGCCATGCCCACCTTGTTGTATGTTGCAGTGTGACAGGATAATTACATTAACCCACTGACTAGACCAAGATGTGTCGCAGAGTCTGCACGTGTTGATCTGCTTAACTCAACTTTTAAAATTTTCTCAGTTGCAAATATTTGACTGATTTCTTTTCTCTGTTAAATTTTAGAAATGGGCGACCAATACTGCACATTCCACTAATAACCTGGGTGTATGAGTTAAAATATGACATCACATCGGCATTATTTCAGTCAGTGACCACCAGGGTGTATGGATTACCGGTCCTGATTAATGTTTAATTATTGGTGTTGTCTGGAGGACCGGCACCTCTGTGGAACCTGAGGTCTAGTGTTTTTCATGTTAAGCTTGATGATGATTAGCAGGTTGTTTCACAATTCCTGTTATTAGTTGTTGGGACAGTAGTACAAGGATAAAGATAGATCAATAGCAAACTAACTATGTCTGGCACAGGAAGGTTGTATTGCTGAAGCTTTTTGACAAAAATTGTTGACAACCTTGAATATGAATATACTTGATTTTGAAAACCTGTTAGTGGTGCACATGATCGAAGTGATGGAGAAAATAAAATTGCAAACAGTGACGGAAAGAATGGGGTTGGGTGGGTACCATCTGAATCTTCTTTGATCAGACTTCCATTCAGATATTTTTATTCGTTGTTTAGTATTTGCCAAGGGAAAAGTTCAAGTCACATGTTCTCCTCATCTTGTTGCTATTCAGAAATGTTGAAACAATGTCCTAGTATGCATGCATCACCTCAGTCGTTTTGTTTGATAGGTAGCTGTTTAGAAAAAAGTGATCGTGCACAATAGTGATCGAGATTGAACAGCACTTTCCTTAGTACAAATCTTGCATTGTCAGCTGTTTGTAATTTTGTTGACACAGTGTATAGATATTGAAAAATGCTTTAGTTAAAAAGACCTGAGAAGGATAGATTTTGATTACGATCATGAGAATCTGCCATGAAAATGTAACTTACATTGTCTGCCCTGATTGTCACTGTACCCAGCCATGCTTGAACATCCAAAGTTAACTTCATACAAGATTGTTGCTTCACGTCCATGCCTCTTTATCATTGGTCATTTCACAAAGTTGACATTCTTTATGCAAATCAGATGATCATGTGACCAGCTACAGATGAACTGAGGTCACAGGTTTCCGTAAGAATATAAACTGCGAGAAGTGTGTATGGTCCACACTGTTGCAACATTGGACAGGCTGAGCTCGCCAGACTCCTTTCACTGACAGCACCCACTGCTCTCAATAGACTCACTACAAGCTCTGAGCAGTGCTTGGACTGACTTGAGGTTTTACTTCTTGTTCGCAACCTTCTCAAGCCTGACTCTCACCTGAACTGACACTGAACTGACTTAAGAGTTGACCGTGTTGATCTTGTCACCATCATGAGTAAACGCAAGAGGAAGCTGAGCCTCCGGCTTCGTATACCCAACAGTAAGTGTCGTACAACTATTGTTCGTTTGTTTACATCTATCTGGGTCAGTTTCAAGGCCATATCATTTGGGAATGTTTTGCTTCAAGAGGCTATCTGAATTCCCCTTGCTTGCAGTAGTTCACCATTACTTGAGTTCCTGATCAATAGGTTTTGAGGGTAGTCTCGATATGGAGTTATTGGCTCATGACATATGTTACAGGGCTCACACCGCTCATAAACAAGCTTCGAGGATTTGCAGAAGTAATATGATTAATATTTCTGACGTATATTATCTGGGAAAAATAATCAGCAAATTTCTATTTGCCATGCTTTATTGCCAAAGAAATTACAGGGGTTGATTCGTATTGACAAGCGTTGTAATCATTGTCTTAATTGATCATTAGTTGTTCTCGGTTTTCACCGAGGTATCGATCAGAAACTTGCTGCTTGATTGTTTCCTAAGCTTTGTGAGTGTTTTTTAATGAATTTCGAGGAAAATGATTGGGGAATGTCATGTGCAAAGCAGCAAAAGTCTGATAACAAAGTTGTTGTTGCTGTTACAGTGTTGCCAAGTAATTGTGCTTCTGCTGCTAATGCAAAAACTGTTTGTGATTCGAGCAAATCCTAGATGTTGAAATGTAAAAAATATTAGCTATAAAATAATTTGGATTTTTAGGGGTAGAGGGGGTTGGTCAGCAAAAATAAGTAAAATGATAAAATGAAGTCTTCTTATGTCCCCAATGTTTTCCTTACTAATATTTTTAAAAATGTCAAAAAGATTTCTAATTAGGCCCCAAAAAATAAATGTTGTGGTTCCGATTTCCTACATTTCAGAACTAGGGTAGGTAGGTAGGGTTGGGTTTTTTTGCAAAATATTTTTACATACTCATGTGTCAGAAAATAAATTTAATTTACTATGTGGTGAGTAAAATTGTTAGGCTCAGCGGGAATATTTAGGGTCAGTCGGGAAATCGGAACCACAAGCTTTTTTTTTAAGGGCTTAGGATTTTAAATGTATAGTTTTTGTAACTACTGCCCACTGTTGAAGTTTTGACCAAACTGTAGCAGAAAAACCCCATAAGGACAGGGTTGTGAGTAGTTTTTATTTTGCGTGAAATGTCAGATTTTCATTCCAGTATTTGTGTTTCAGTTCTTAGATATCAGCAATCATTACATGTGACACACAAGCTGGTAGGGTGCTTCATGTGATTTATTTCCAACCCAAATCAGTCCACCAAGGTTTACTGTGCCAGACAAACAAAATGGTTCCTTGTATCGGTGACTTGTCAAATTGACCACTCTTCATAGATGTTATGAATAGTCGTTCATAAAGACAGGGTAGGGAATTTACTAATGCAATATTCATAGGTCTGTGGGCTTTGAACATGCCAGGATTGATTAAAGCATTTTAAGCTGACAACTTATTAATTATGCATGGCGCTGTCGAGTTTAGTGTAAGGAAATGTTATCATAAGGGAATATTGTGTCATGTTTTTGTATATAGTGGGACATATATGTGTAATTTGTATAAATATGAGTATTGATTACCATAATTAATTTTGTGTAGTCACCTGGAAACAAGTTAAGAAACCCACCAATATTTTAATGTATTCCGAACTTAATGGATCTTTTGGATTTACTAGTTGTGCAATTGGGCTTATTTTGCTAGCCATACCGCAAGCCACACACCTGTCCGCCCCCACCCCCATCTTTGAAGATGGGTTATGATTGGTCTTTAGCCACCCATGTTTGTCATAGAGGTGACTATTGGGATCAGGAGGTCAGGCTGTTGACGTGGTTGATGCATGTCAGCGTATCTAAATTGTGTCGTTTGGTGCTCATGATGACAGTCACTGGATTGTCTGGTCCAGACTTTATTATTTACAGACCGCTGTCATATAGCTGGAATATTGCTGAGTGTTGTGTCAACAGCAAATAATGCGGAGCACCACATGAGTGCCATAAATACCTCTCGAGAGTTGGTACAAGAACACTCTGTGTTCGTGTGTGTGTCCACAAGGGCTGGGTCTTGTCTGATAGAAGAAGCTGGGAAACCAAGGACAGCCATATAACTGACAGTGATTTATGTATTAATGTACTTAAATATGAGCAGGCCACTTTGATTGTGTACACCAGTATATCATGGTGCAAATCCTCGGCAATACGTTTGTAAAAATATTGGGGCAAATGTAAATAAGTGTATTTGATAATATTGATATGATCCGGTTAGTGAGTGAGTGAGTTTCATTTTACGCTGCTTTCATCAATATTCCATCAATATCATGGCATGAGACACCAGAAATAGGCTTCACACATTTTACCCATGTGGGGAATCAAACCTGGGCCTTCAGCATGACAAGCGAACGCTTTAACCACTAGGCTACCCCACCGCCCCCTTATTTGGTTAATATGAGACATGTTACCTGTTTTGTTTAGATTCTTTGTTTTTGTTAAGCAACATGTTTTGTCTGAAAAGGAATACTGACGGTATCTGACATTAATACAGGGTATAACACTGGTTATCTCATGAATATGTAAATTGGTAATATATTGTAATACGTATTGCAATACGGGTTAAAGTATGGCAGTATATTGCAGCTGAATACATTGCCCTCTTTGTTAAGATGTAATGCATACAGGATACAGTAATGGCTGGTTTGTATTGAAATGTATGGTAAGCAGCTCCTAGGTTTATTGTGTGTATGCATGTTTATTGTGTCATGGTGTTTGTCGGCTCAACCCGGAACCAGGCAGCAGCTGAAGGGATGGTGTAAATCTAGCTTAGATATTGTAAATCCCCATTGTCCCTAGCATGGTAGATTGATTTAGCTGGCTATCTGTAGAATGTTTTATAATGTCTTGTTATGAATAGCGATAGCTTTTTATCGTAACTTACTAGTGACATAAATCTGTGAGAAATCAAGTTGACAGGTTTTTATGTTGAGTAGATGATTATTTTGAATAACCTTGAAGTCTTGATGGCACTGAAAGACTGGCAATGTGACTTTAAATTCTCAAAGGGCATGGAGTCAGTCTCACTGGGGACATCATTATCTTGTCAGCTTTCCTATGTGGCATTAACGTCTTTGATTGGTCAAGAGAAACAGGAGGATGGTGGGGTAGTCCAGTGGTTGAAGCGTTGGTTCGTCACGCCAAAGACCCGGGTTCGGTTCCCCACCTGGGTACAATGTGTGAAGCCCATTTCTGGTGTCCCATGCCATGATATAACTGAAATTTTACTAAAAGCAGCCTAAAACTAAACTCACTCCCCACTCACAAGAGAAAAGGGATTCCGACATCACCTCTGGTCTGTGGTGCTGTCATGGTAACCAGAAGTTTTGTGGCTGTCACACAGACACCCAATGATTGGCTGAGCATCTTCATGTAAAATTTGGGAAAAGTAAACAAAACAAAAGTGGCATCCTTACTTTGTTGGCTTGCTGATGGGGTTAACCTCTTTCTTCATGTGGACGTGGTCCTCTGGTCACGCTGAAGACCTGGGTTTCGATTTCCCACATGGGTACAATGTGTGAAGCCCATTTCTGGTACACCCTGCCGTGATATTGCTGGAATATTGCTAAAAGTGGTGTAAAACCATACCAACTCACTCATGAGGACGTGGCATCTGACCCAGTCTGAGGTTTGAATCCCATTACAGGATTATGAAAGTTTTTGGTTGCTACACTGTGGCATCCATATGACTTATATTATAGATGATTGAGAATCATGTTCCATGATAGTATCCAATATTGTCTGTCATATTATGGGAGATCGTGATGGTTTTCTGGTATTTATGACAATAATTAGAGGAATCAATCATTCTACTGTCAGAATATGTTACAAGAGATTATAAATTTTTCGAAAGTGATCAAGTATATTTGAAAGCTTACACGCTTATCTGTCACTTTGATACTGAACAGTCAAAAATATTGGAAAAGAACTTCAGTGGAATCATTAAACATGTTAAGTCAATATGAAGGCATGAAAGTCTGTGTGGCCAGCTTGTCATTTTACCGTCAGAATGTGTTGATGAAATTTCCTCAGCGACAATATTTGATCAGCCCATATTGATGTAGAATTGCTGAGTGGCTAACTTGTCATTGTGTTTTATTGCCATGAGCTGACCAACTCATTCAATTTGTCATTTAAAGTAACACGTTGAGATCCGGGTTAGAATTATAATCTGTTTGCAGTGAAAACGATACCGATGAATGTAACTTTAAAAAAACACGTAAATCGAAAAAATTAAAATTAAAATAAAGTCTTCAGTAGCCCATGCTTGTTGTAAGAGGCGAGTGACGGGATTAGATGGTCAAGCTCACTGACTTTGTTAACACGTCATTGTATCCCAATTGTGTTAATCGTTGCTCATGATGTTGATCACTGGATTGTCTGGTCCAGACTCGATTATTTACAGACTGACACCATATAGCTGGTATATTGCTGAGTGCAGCGTAAAACTAAACTCACTCATTTGAAGTAAGACCTGCTGCATGGGGTAATGTCATGGCTGTTAAGGATAATGTCATGGCTGTTAAGGATAATGTCATGGCTGTTGTCATGGCTGTTAAGGATAATGTCATGGCTGTTAAGGATAATGTCATGGCTGTTGAAGGTAATGTCATGGCTGTTGAAGGTAATGTTGTAGCTGTTGATGGTGATGTGGCTGTGGAAGGTAATGTCATGGCTGTCATGGGGTAATGTCATAAAGGTAATGCTGAAGGTAATGT